AAAAAAATTGTTAGAATTTTAAATTCGAGGGTATCCCTAAGCCATCACTTACTATTTCCACCCTCGTTCCGGATAAATAATCCCGGACCAGCTGGCCATCTCTCACTCAAAAGCTTAATCACAAATCGATAAACGTGACGCATCGCGCACTCGACCGCTCCACCCTCGTTCAGAACGCGATCTTGTTGAATTTTCGAGAACGCACAGAGGTTACCATTCTCGGTATAATTCTCGATTTCAAATTCGTCGGTTAATGGACATCGATTATCCCCCTCCCCTCCCCCCTCATCATTTTCTCTTAAAACAATATTTCAAACATTACTTCCTCTCGAGTAATTTCATTCTCATCGCTTTGTTTCATTCAATTTTCCTTCGATCTCGGTTTCAATTCGAATCGAGAACGATTTATCATTCTCCGTGTAACGAAGAATATTTCGTTCAAATTGTTCCATGTATAAACAAGATTACATTTAATATTTCTCTTCGTTCGTACGCGAAAGGCCCTGATTCATCGGTTAAAAACCGTTCAAATCTTCGATTATACATATTTTTCTTTTATGCTTAATTAATGATCATCGAGAGAATTGCAAGGAAATTCGTACGAATAACGATTGAACAGATGAATGAACGAGATGTTGATTTGATGGCGTTCCTTTAATCGAGAATCGTTACGGAAGTTGGCGCGATGGCGAACCGAAAATGGCGGACTTAATGTGGCTTGTCTCTCTCTCTCTCTCCCTCCGTCTCGCGCGCTGCTCGCTCGGTTACTCGAATAATGGATTGCCATTAAAGCATCCACGTTAAAGAGGAAAGCACGAAACAGCTCGTTCACCGTTGCTAGCTCATTAGGGAAGGGAAGAAATTTGTGCGCCCGTGTCCGTGTTGAAAGTCGAACTGTGTGGAAAATGTTTTATTTCCATTCGTGAGAGAGAGAGGGGGGGAGGGAGGGGAGGGAGAAGGATAGATTCAGAAATAATTCGGGGGGAAAATAAATCGGGGAATAAATCGCAGGTATTTATAATTAGTAAGAAATGATATAGTAAGCGCGCGTTGCATCATTTATCACGTAAGTAGAAGTAAATCATCGATCGGATATAAAATTTTCATTCGATCTCAATTATTGAAACGTGGGATTTTAAGGTGAAAATGAGGATATTAATAATTCGAAACCGCCTCGTATCATATAATAGGATAGATATTGAAAATATGTCGAGCTTCTCGAAATTATATTTCGTCGACCAACACTCTTGACTCTTTCCCCTCCTCCGAGAAATTCTTCTTCTCCCGATAATAATAAAAATGAACGTAAACGTCTCGCCAATTAAATGGTCCCGCCATGTGGCCCTGCCAATTACCACTATCGAAAACGAATTATAACTATCGAGCCGAGTAATAATTAAAACGTTAGGTCGTATTAGGTACGCGTGGTAACAGGAAGCGAGGAACAAATTGCTGCGTTGCCAACTCGTTATGATCGTATTCGCTTGTTCGAGAAAAAACTGAACGCCAGTATCGGCCGGATGCCGATACTTTCCGACCTTTTCACAAAGTGTTAACGATTTTCATCGTTCGATTAACCATCCTCGATCGGATATCCTTCGATCCTCGACTCGCTCAAAGCATCTTTAAACCTCCCTTTATTATGCGTTCTCGAATAATGATAGCTTTGCTCAATAGTTGCAGAGTTGCACTCGATCGCTCTCTCCCCTCATCACGGGAGAAAAATCGTCATATATTTTTCAACTCGAATCATTCGAAAGATAGGGATGCGTTAACCTTGATATTCGCGTGTCGGTCGAAAGAAGAAAGTAAGTTCGAATCGATCCAAGTTTTCTCGATGTTTCGCAAGTTGAGCCCCCGTGCCGTTGTATCGTTGATCAGACGTTTGATCTGTTGGCTATGAACGATAGAATCTAAAAATATCGAATCGAAAAATGGATGGAAATGGGAGGGAGGGAGGATATTTTTACCAAGCACGTGGCTCCACTCTGTTTGTAACAATTTATTGTTACAACAGCGGACGCAAATGTACCGTTGATTTTCTACGAGTACGGTGGCCTTGAGCAAGGCCGTGGCATTGAAATCCAAGCGCCGCTTTAATTTATACCGGTCGTTGAACCCTCGCCTGGCTTACACGACTACTTCACCGACTGGAGCAACTGCATAATATTCTTTAGCTGCATATATATATATATACATATACACACACACACACATATATACCATATGTATGTATATACATATATACACGTGGTAACATTGCGATGCATTATATATGTATATATAGCGGGAGATTGGGAAATTTTATCGCGGCGAATTTTGTCTATTTTCCTCGTCACCTTCTCCTCCCCTGTGATTCGTTTCGTTCGTGTTTTGTTCTCGCGGCAAGATAAAAGAACATCTTCTTTTTTCTTTTTCTATCGAACCAAAGACAAGATTTTCATTTCTTTAAATCATCCCATGCGTTTTGTATTCGCGATTTATTTCTCTCTTTCGTTTCTCCGTCGTTCCAATTTCTCCTCGGCTTATTCTTGCGTTATATCCATTTTTCCCCCCTTTTTTTTCTTCTTTACCATTCCAACCATCCAAGTTTCCCGCGTCCATTAACGGGCTCGCGTAACGAGGGCGAAATACCTGGTCGACTGGCTAATTATCTCTTCGTTTCCCGAATTTACAAATATTTTTCGTGAACACCGTATGCGCCTGTGTTCCTGGTGCCGAATTATCGTTATTACACCGGTTATATTTAATTCCGGGAGGTAAATCAATTGCGTATGACGCTCGCGGATAATTGGTTAATTAACTCGAATTGGTGATGGTTACGTGTGTGCGTACGCGCGCGCGAATGTGTTCACGAAATTCGTGTTACACGGGCACGCGTGAATCACAGGCCGGCAATGTTTGTCAGGGATGTGGAGAGGAAGGAGGGGGTTTAACGAAAATTCGAAGACTCTTTTGTCTCGTTTTGTTTTTTGATTAAAGATCCGGATAAATATTTGAAATTTGGTAATTGCTTTGATCGCGTTAAAAGGAGAAGCGATAGAATTGAAAATTGACGATTGCGTCGATAATAACGTATTCGAATTTCTATCGTGTAATTATCGTGGTAATTATTGGAATGATAGAGGTGGAAGATCACGGGGGAGGGTAATTCTCGTGAAATTTCAAATTAAAAACCTGCTCTTGCCACACTTTGTAGAGGCAAGATTTATTTGAAGTATATATTATTCAGTGAATATATTATTTCGGTAAATAATATACGCTTAATCGGTCAATATATGCACGTTTAATTGTGGAACGAGTAAATACAGTTACTAGAAATAGCAAGTGTATTTTTATAATTTAATCTTTCGCCAAAAAGTTTATATACGTGTTAACCGATATAGATTTGTGTCAATATTCTACTTGTGTCGATACTCTCCCCATTTAAATTTTTTATCTTTTTTATTCGTGAAAAAAAAAAACAAAAATTGCCAATTTCGAAACAATAATTCGAAAAGTTGGAAATTACGCGAGATCACGTATCCACAAGTTTTCAAATCGGGATAAAGTTTATTTCAATTCTAATCGAAGGTCAACCTCGATTGCTATTACCACGACAATTGATTGTTGGTACGTGGATACCATTGAGAGATATAACCTTAGATTATTCCGTTATCTCGAAAGGTTTGTGCGTCGTAATACGCGATCGTTGTAAATCTTGAGATTAGATCCCCTCGTGGACGTGAGCTTCTTACGTGTGTAATATGTTCTTGTTATTTAGCCATTTAACCTTACGTTTAATCGACAACGTTGAATACAATTATCCCTTGCGCCTGGTTTCTTTGGGATAATTATGAATTCACGTATATATAAAATTGAGAAATCTGAGTAAAAAAAAAAATTTCCCGATATATTCGCCGATTGCTTCGTAAAACGTGTAAATTTATTGAACGTTGCATAACGTTTCGTAGAAAGAATCGTATTTTACGCAGATATTCAACTCTGTATCGTATTTAATTTTTAAAAGATCGGGTAATTAATCTCGAATCGTTATTACTCGTTTCTGTATACACGCGAATCGTTACATTCACGCGAATGAAACTTCTACTTTTAAAAAATATCGTCAACGAATCTATTTAAGTAATAGAGAAAACATCGTGAAATCATTTTTTCATTTCATTCTGATATCTTGATTTATTGCTCAGATTACGAATGAGCTCTCTTCCAAGAATCGAACACTACGTTTTTCCAAAAATCATCGATTGCTAGGGATTTGAGATGAGATCTGGAAAGAATAAGATGACAAACGATTAGAAATTATTTTTTCTTTACGCGATATTTCGGAAATCGTATTAGAATAAACGAAATAGCGTTTCAAAGAACAAGCGTTCCCCGCTTCTAACGATCTTTCATTCGTTGATCAGGAACCACTATCTTCAAAGTTATCGCGCTTTAATTTTAATAAAAAATTCAATCAAATTTCAAACTGGAATTACGTGTACGTAATACATTTATTTCTGAAATAACGTTATGAACATCATGCGTCACTTGTTGTACATTCGTTTCCAAAAATTCGCAATCTACTCGTTACACATTTATAAGATGATAAATTTATTTAACCCTTTCACTGTTATAGTCTCTCCGCATAAGATGCCGCGTGAGCTATGATTCGAGTTATCGCGCATCGAGTATCTTTCTCTGGAAACGTAGCATCGATATTCCTTTTTATCATCAATTTTTATTTTCAATAAACACCGTCAAAGCGACTCGAATCGTGAGGTGTAAACGCTGACGATCTCTCTCGAGCACTGTGCACACGTTTACCTTATCGTCGAATATATCAATATCGTCAATCAAGCGAGAAAATCTGGAACACCACGTGTACATGCATATACATATATCATCGCACACTAGCTGGATCGAAATTAATATTTTCGAAAGGAGGTGATATACAATATAACGTTGCATTGTACGAACACACTTTTATTAATTGAAGATCGGTTCGGTTTTGATTGCAGCGTATTGGCCCCGGAGCGACAGTGCAGCCTCGTCGCTTTTCGGCGGTATGCCGGGCGGATATGGATTGGGGGCCCACCATTTACCATCGGCTTACGCTATCCTGGGCCGTGGAGGTTCTGCTCCCGGATTCGGGGGTCACACACCGGCTTCCGCTCCACCGCCACCCCCTTACTCCCACAGCAGCCTTGGTACCCTGAGCGTGGCTGCCAGTCAGGCTGCGAGTTTAGGTGAATAATCTCGTTGTTGTAAAACGCGAACCCCTGAGAATAACTTACGTATTATTATTATTATTATTATTATTATTTAATGTATCATTATTTTACACGAGCGATACGATGCAATTTGGAATTGGATCCAGGTATAAATCCCGCGAGTGCAGCATGGTGGACGATGGCCTCACACTTGGCGGCACAGGACTACCTCGCGAGGTTGCAAGGAGCGGCAGGATTGCCCGGATTTCCGCCCGGCGCCGAGAGCCTCCTGCCACCCTATCCTGCCTCGCTACTTAATCCCCCGTCCTTGTCGTCCCACAAGTCCAGTAAGTGTAAGTATCGCGAGGATATAATAAGTTCTAACTCCTTGTCTCTTTATCCTTCTGTGTAAAATGATAGAAAAATATTCTAACGCTTCTCGAATTTCGAAATTTTACTTGAATTTTTTGATAAAGTTTAGAAAGGAAACTTGTTCGTGTGCCCTTTCAACCTGTGATCTAATTTTCTACTTTTCGGGATTGAGATTAGAATTTTTGAAAGGCATGTGTCTGTTGTGGAACAGCTAAGTCAAGCAAGAGTCACAAGACTCCCGCGAGCAGTAGCAGCTCGACGACGCCAAGTATGACGAGCAGCAGTTTACCGGTCTCGACCCAGGCGCCGGTCACGTCCTCTCATCACAGCACGTCGGCGAGCACCACGCCGAATTCGCAAACGAACGTTGTCAGGTAAAAGAGTGTGCAACCTCGTTAAATCGATGGTTTTTCCCGTTTTCATTATTTTTTAACTGACGCTCCCGCGTCCGCATCGCACTTACCGTTTCCCATTAATTATTTTTCCACGCTTGCCGATACGCCTACAGTTCTGCGAAAGAGGGCAGGTGAGAGATCGTTAAGAATGAACAAAAACAAACAAAGAGAAGAAAAAAAAAAGAAAAACAACAACAATCACCGAAAAAATATGAACAGGAAAAAAAAAGAAAAAAGCGAAAACGATACGTAAAATGGATGGAAAAAAAAAGGAAAAAAAAAAAAGAAAAGAAAGAAAAAAAGAAGAAATATAGAAGGAAAAGAGAATATAAAAACGAATCGAAAGGGATATTCGTACGATCGATATTTTGTTATTCGCGATTCACGGGGATATGTATATATATATATATTATTTTTCTCTGTTTCCATCTCGTTCTTCTCACCGTGAATTCCACGCTAACGGCTCCGCTCCCGTTCATTTAACTTTCATACGGTGCTTGTAAACCGTGTAATTTCGTTGTTATGATTGCTCGATGGCCCTTAACGTCGCGTCGTTTTAAACAATTTGTCCTTTAACTAGTCACACGTCCCGTTGCATTTAATATTCAAAATAGTCGCGGGGAAAAAAAGCGTTTACGCGCGGTGAACATTTAGCCCTTTGTCGACACTGATTAAATTTATCCTTTCTGCATTTGGTTTTAATATTAGATATTTTTTTTTTGTTGTTTTTTTTCTGTTGTTTTTGTTTACAACAACTAAAATAAATTACAAAGATTAATATATATATTTATATAAAATTCATAATCGTGTCTTTAAAGGGCTATTTTTATATAATATACAAAAGCGTAGATTTAATAAATTTGTTGTAATACTTGTTACAAACGGTTGAATAATCTAAAACGATTTATTTATTTAGCGATCCTAGCAGTATATTAGGAGGTGTACGCCTGCCACCCGATACAGAGATTATCAAATACACGTCGAGCATAGTCGGTCCAAAGGTTCCTGGCACAACGAACCGTGGTAGAAAGAAGACCATATCCTTGGACACGCCGAGCGTGAGCGTACACCCGCCTCCCGTACCCGCTCTCACCGCTCATCAAACGAACACGACGAGCACGTCACTGATGATGGAGCCGAGAAAGTATAATCGCACGGGGGTAATTATCGCGTTGAAAAAAAATTTGAAATTCCTTGATTGCAAAATTAAGGGGGGGGGGGAGAGGAAAAAGAGCGTTTCCTCTTTCGAAGTTGAAGTTAAGGAAAAGAAGGAAGGAGAAGGACTGTCACGTTGGATGCACAATGGACGTTTTAATTTCTTTCAGAGCGAGTCGAACGATTACAGGGAGTCGGTGGATCGCGTGGAGGTGATCAAATTGCCGGCACATTCGACGAACGGCTCCGTTCTACCGGCACCGTCGTCCTACACGTCCTCCACCACCACCAACACCAGCAACTCGAACGATTCGGACGCGCCGCTCAACCTCTCGTTGAAACCGGCGACGACCAGCAGTAATTCGCCGATTTCCGGCAGCCAGCCGCTCAGCCAGCTCAGTAATTTAAGTCAGTCGTTGCTCGCCTCCGATCGAACTTGTGAGTAGCCTCAGAATTCGGGAACGAAACGAACGAAACTTCCAATCTTACCTTTTCCATTTCGTCTTCCATAATCGCCTTTCGTTTCACCGATAAATTCTTCTTTTTACGAATAAAAATAAAATTCGCGGAATTATTTTTCATCTTGTACGATTTCTCTCTCGATTTCTCGAACATCACGGTATAAATTTGACAGCGAGAAGGAAGCCAGGGCCGAAGCCACGAAGGGTGCCGCAGAACTCGGTGCCGGTGCCAGCATCCCCGAGCCCTTCGTTGGCGCAGTTGTTCGCCGCCGCCGATTCACCGCAACGGCCGAGCAGCGGGAGCGAGGAGAGCGAGAGCGCGAGCACGACCCACCACAAGGACGGCCGGCCAAGGAACCTGGGTCGCGGCGTTTCGAAACCGAAGAAGAACACGGTGGCCTCGTTGCTCGCTCAGAGTAGAGCCCTGGGGATCAAACCGACGCCCACGTTGGACCCCAGCGTGCCATTGTCTCATCAGGTCTCTTTACTGAGGTCCAATATTCTGGCTGCTCAATTGCACGCTACCGCGACCGGTCAAACTGGTCAGACAGATGACAAGAATCAGGTAAAGTTCGTGGTCGATGTATATACATATATAATTACACATATAATTTTCGATGTAATTTCTTTTCACTTCATTTTGCACTTATTTTTCTTCTTCTTTTTTTTTGTTTTTTTTGTTTTTTTTTTTTTTGGTTGCTTCGTTCATTATTGGTTTATCAATTTTATCGAAAATGCATCACGATTAATTCGTTTTTAATCAACGATTCGTTCGACCTCGAAAATCGAACGGATGGAGCAGCCGCATCATCAACACGGAGGAGAGAAGTAGACGAGTGAAGTTCGAAGGGAGGCGGATTTTTTTTTTTTTCTTTTTCGCTTATGATTTATCCACTAAAACCATGCTCCCTATATAGCGGTCTTTGCAGGAGAAGATGAAGAACAAGTTGCTCGAGGTGTCCGGCGAGGAGAGCAACATGGACGTGACGAGCGAAAGCGGTAGCAACACCGATGTTGTGACGGATACCGACGACGACAACACGGATGGCGTATCGAGCGCGAAGAGAAGAAAGGTGAAACCCAGCGAGAGGGATCTCCAGGTGCCTCTGGAACGCGGTTGGAAGCGGGAGACCGTCATCAAGGGATTGGGCAAGTCGGGAGTGATAAAGGGTGACGTGTCTTATTACAGTCCTTGCGGAAAGACGTTCAGAAGCAGTCCGGACTTGGCCAAGGTTGGTCCATGTTTCTTGTTTTTCCTTTTTTATTGTTATTATTATTATTATTATTATTATCAATTTCGCGTTTACTTATCCATCCTTGGATCACGTAATTAAAATTTAGAATTGGCTGTTTCAGTTTCTGGAACAACAGAATCCGCCCGAGTTGACCACCGCCAATTTTTCGTTCTCCTCTCGTCCACTGGTGGGCGAGTTTCTTCAACCGACGATGGGCCTCGCGGAGGCGGAATTCGTCAGGTTGGGCGCTCAAGAAGTGGCGAGAAGGTTGGAGGAGTTGAGAGCAGCGGGTGGTTTCAGGGACTCGAGGACGAATAACCAATACGAGAGGGAGAAGTTGGCGTACGCGAAAAAGTTGGCCAAGGAGGAGGCGCAACGGCACAAGGAACAGGCCAGGTAAAGAGGCTCTTCTTCGTTCTCTTCTTCCTTCTATGGATGAAAATTATCGGATCGGATTTTCATTTTTCCTTGGTCCATTTTCACTCGATAATTTTCTTCGCCCGTTCTTTGTTTCCTCTCGATCCGTGTTCGTGAGGAGAGACGATTGGATTAAAACGAATTGTACATACGCGTGTAAGATGATCGATCGATCGATCCGATTTCAGGTTGATCAAGGAGCAGGAGAAAACTGAGAGACAGGAGGCGGTGAGACGGGAGCGGGAGATTAGAAATCAACAGTTGCTCGAGGTAAGTTGAAAATCTCTTTACGCCTTCTCTTATGTCCGTGTTTTACTTCCTTTTTCACATTTTGTCTCGATTCTCGTTGTTTCATTCACAAGGAGTCTGTTCTCTCACTCTATTTGGGATACCTACTACGTTTTTTTGTAATTTTTGTCCACCTGTCGTGCGTGTCGCATGCTCTCTGTGTGTGTCGTATTTATATTATACATATACATATATATATTATCTATATCTATATACGTATATTATATATACATCTATTTGTACATTATATATATATATATATATATACATATATATATACTCCTCCAGTTGATATATTCTTAATAACTCCAGATACTCTTATATATATATATACTCGCATATATATATATATATATATATATGTGTGAACCCCTTGTATCGCCCCTCTCTCTACGAGATTCCAACAACCAACAACCGAGCAAAGGAAAAAAAAAAAAAAAAAAGAAAAGAAAAGAAAAGAAAAAAAAAGAAAAGAAAAGAGAAAAGAAAAGAAGCAAAGAGAAAAACAAAATGTCCCAGGACACACGAGAAATCAAGAAATGTCTCCCCCCTCCCCCATAGAAGACCGAGAATCGCTAGCAATAGTGACAGGAGAACCCCAAGCATGTCCTCCCAGAGTTTTTCCAACTTAATATCAAATCGACAAAAACTCTTCTCCCCCCATCCTCTTGATCGAAACCCCTTTAGTTCCAAAGTTACTTCTTCTTCTTCTTTTTTTTTTTTCTCTAATTTAATTTTTTTTTTTTAATTATTATAAAAGTTCTTGTGTTCGATACATTTTTCTGTTCGTTTAACGCTCCCTCGTCGTCAGTGAGCCGAGAACGTGTTTCTTTCTAGTCGTTTCAACCGAAGATCGTTTGTGGCTGCATCTCGCTTCCGGGTCCTCCACACGGCGAGAACCGACCCGACAGTCTTTGGGTTTCATTGATGAGAACCGCGATGAACCGTGCAGCTTTCATAGAGAGAGAATGAGCGGGAGAAAATGTATGAAAGAATGAGGAGAAGGGAAAAAAAAAAAAAGAAGGGGGGAAGAACTGTCGAGAAAATCGAGATCACCACGGTGTATCGATGTTCGAATTCCTTTCTCTTTTCGTATTTGCGCGTATATTAACACTAACGATATTGGACGAAATTTACGGGATGATAAAGAGGATGATAAAAAAAAGAAAAATAGGATTCAAATAATCGAAGATATAAACGTGTATGCCATGTTTGACAAATGGAAAATTGGGAACATCGATTTTATCCGTGGTTTCAAGGTTTTCGAATGGAAAATTAATCCGTTCGATCGAGAACTCGTGATAGTGTCTGCTCGAGATGTGTTCCATTAGTCGTATGTGTGCGTGTGTATATGTGTGATCTCGATGATGCATATTAATTACCCGGTGCTTTGTGTGTGCACTGTAGACAGTCTTACGTATATATATATATATATATCGATCTTTGTCGTGGTATAGTTTGTTCTCACCTAATTTCACATAGATTGACGTCGAATGATCGTGCGAAAAGTTAGATCGATTAGATACCATTTAGATTAGTCCCTCGTCTCGTTCGTTAGAGATTAGTTTTTACCTTACGTTTTTCGATCGTGCACGCTCCGATTTCTTTCTTTCACTTGAGCCGAGATTAGCCGTGTTATCGTGTAACTTTTCTGCGTATCGAATCGACGAACGAAAAATCGGCGCGTACACGGTCTCGAGAGCGGCGAAAAAGGGAAGAAGCGCGCGCTTCGCTAGCGGAAAATTTCTCCAGTTGCTCGAATGATAGAGATATCGTCGATAAAAAAAAAAAGAAATTCGTCGTTCGAGAAATCAAGTTTACGATCTCGTCGTCGTCGTCGTCGTCGTCGAAGTCGTTTCTCGAGGATTTTTCCGCGGCGAAGAAAAAAGTAAAAAAAAAAAAAAAATAATAAAAAAAATAAAAAAATCGGCGCGAATAGATGACGCGAATGTAGAAACTTTAACCAGCCCACTTATTGTGATAGTTCTCCAAAATGGACGGGAATATCCTTTGGCCCGAGAAAGCGAGACACACCAAATTACAGACGACCCGCCAACTCGTCCCATTTTTCTTAATCACTCTTTGTCACTCGTTCGCTCATTCATTCCATTCACTTGCATCCACCTTCACACGCACTGTCACATCACATATTACATGCCCACCCGATTCCTTCTCTGTCGCAAACATACACGCAACACGCAGTTATCCGACGCAGAGCGAGACGTTCGAGGGGAATCAAAAATAACGATGTCAGCCGAAAGGAGATGGCCGAAAAAAAAAAAAAAACAATGATGTAGATGTAATTCAATTGATAAATAGCTGGGACGTGGCCTAGGGATGCCCAGTTTGCTAACAATCGATCTTATCGTTCGTTCTTTTCTTACTTTTTTTTTTTTTTTGTTTTTTATTTTTTACGGCATCATTTAGCGATCATTTGGTTACGTAGACGTATCGAGTGTAAAAATTTTAACGAAAGAAAAAGAGAAAACGAGAAAGAAAGAAAGAAAAATATTAGCTACAGTTATTAGTAGTCGAAGAATCGAAAGATCGCTGGTGTAGAGCCCCTTAGTTTGTTCTGTTGCAACTTTCAGTTGGTTGCGAAGCTCGAAAAAGGCTCAGCCTATCCTCTTCACAGTGAGACCACGCTAGAAATCCAACCACCACCTACCACAACCATCACCACCACTACCACTACCACCACGATCATTCACCCAAGTTGCTCAAAACAATTGTTTACGAACGTCCTCCTCGAACGAAGGACGGGCCACCGTCGAAAAGAGCGACGGGTGTCACTCGCACGCGTACCACCACGTAATCACGTACCTGCGATTAACACGATCGATTATTGGGCATCCCTAAACCTACAAACGCAGGGTCGAAAGCGGCTAGCGTTCACGATCAAGCAGAAAATGAAGATCATCCAAGAGATCGAACGCGGTAAGAGCAAGAGCGACGTGGCGCGCGAGCTGGGTCTGGCTAGCAGCACGGTGGCCACCATCTGGAAGAATCGGGAGAGCATCGCGGAGAGCTGGAGGAACCGCGACATGATGCAGCAGCACTCGGATGTCGAGGACCCGGTCGCGAAAAAAACCGGCCTCCCCTCCGCGTCGTCCAATTTGGCGTCTGTCACGTCGCTGGTAACGAATAGCACGGTGTTGAACACCGTGAACGCAACCAACAACACCACCACCAGCACCACGTTGCCCACAGCCGTCGTGGTGCCGCCTCCGCAGGTGCAGGTGGTGCCGCCAACACCACCACCACCACCACCACCACCACCGCCACCACCACCACCACCACCACCACTACCACCACCGCCACCATCACTGCCTCTCCCATTGCCGACCACCTCCGCAACGGTCGCCCCTCCGTCGACGTCGCAACCCACGCAGCTCTCCACGACGCCAACCTCCAGCACCACGTCCACAGGCACCACCACGACCAACGCCAGCATCATGGACAATACCCAGCAGGCCCAGACCCAGACGCAAAGTCAGGAGCTTCTGGAGGTAAGATGTCGTATGACGCCTCCTGACACCCTTCCCCCCCTCCCCTCTGCCCCTATCTCTCACCTCGATCATCCCTCGAGAGGAACCTTCCAAGTCGCGCGAGTCGTCCTCCGCGACGTTTCTTCCTTCTCCTCTCCTCCTCCCCTCCTCGCCCCTTAATATGGCCAATATTAAAGCAAAGAAAATGGAATTCGAAGATGGAATCGTGGTTGGTGAGGAAAACAGTGCTGTTTAAAGCGATGATCGGGTAAATAGCACTGACGAGAGATATTCGGCTGCTATTGAAATTTTCCAGGGATCCGCTTTCCTTGAAGTGTGTTTCGCGCCACGACGTGTCGCGTCGATAATTAATTAAATTAAAAAAAAAAAAAAAAAAAAAAAAAGAATGAAAATACAGCGTGTATACATTTTAACGGAGGGGAGTGGGAGAGGAGCGAATTTAATCGTCGAGTGCGAAATTACTTTCTAACTGAGCGTTCCCTGAAGAAGTTTCTTTGCCCGAAGCCGGGTTCCGGCACCGCCGCTATTCTTTCCGCGAATCCTTTTGTCCATCCAGTTGCACTCTCGATTAATTGCTTTCGAGGGATCCGCCTGTCTCTCACCTTTGCTCTCCATTCGCTCGATATAGTTCCTTGCCTCCATTTCGCGAACTGCATTCTACGATCTTACATCGTCATTAAACCCTCATCGACTTCATGTTCACTAATGAGCGTTACCGTCGCCCCTTTGCGATTCGTTCGTCCAACGGATTTCCGTCCCCTCCTCTCCTTCTCTCCTTCCTTTTTCCCCTCCTTTTCTCCTCCGGAGTTTACACCGGAGGAAACGGGACGAAAGGACCTCTTGAGGTAAGACTACGATTGCCTGGTTTTCTATGTCGTCCATCCCATTTATATTTTTGCGATCGAAAAAATATTTTCAACATCTGCCCCTTCCCTCCCCTTCTCCCCCTCCGCCCGAATCTCCCCCACGATCATCTCTCATCATCTACTCTGTCCATTGCTAGATTAAGCGTATCACACGTGATGCGACAACCAGAGGTAAGATATTACTCTCCGTCTTTTTCAGACGTTTCTCACGCCAAGTGTATATCACGTACTTGCGAACGAATCACATGTGACGCGTATTGTCTCCGTTCTCGATCGTTTGCATTTTTACATCGATCATCTGTGAATCTTTTTTCCTTTTATTTTTCTTCTTCTTCTTCTTTTTTTTTTCTCTCTTCTTCATCGACCCCTCTTACGTTTCTCTCATTTCTTTCCGCCAGTTACACGCGTGTAACTCTCCCCTAACGGGATCCGGGATTTTGTTGGTTCTCTTTCATTAAGAAAAAAAAAAAAAAAAAAAATACACACTCTCATCTCAGGTTTTCTCACGAGTTTTTATACTTTATTATTTTCCCGCGCGCTGGTTCACAACTTCTCTTCGCTTGCCTTTCAGTTTCTTCCTCAGTAGTGTCTGCATTTCTAATCGATGCTCGAACGATTCCGGCCCGGGCCATTCTCGCGAGATTCTCCACGAGATTTTATTCGATCCTCGCGAGACGACGCCTCGTTCCAAAAAAGTCACAAGATTATTCTTTATTCCGGGGAGAAATCGATCGGGTTTCTTTTTTTTTTACACGCGTCACCCTTATCTCTTATCGTTAGGAATCGTCCAAATTTTTATCGTCCATCCTCCCTCCCTTCCATAGTCGCGCGTGTACACGTGGTTTTTCCCAAATGGAAATTTCGAGCCGAGCTTTCTTTCCAGAGAATTTTTTTTTTTTTCTTCTTCGACAAGTGACGGAGTGAAAATATGCGATGGTCCAAGGTACGAACACGTACACGAGCACCAGTAGCCCACGTCATAAAATACTTGTGCATCACGTAGCGATCGAATGAAAGAGGACACCACACGCGCGCATACACACAAACACACACACACACACACACACACACACACATACGTGTGCACGGCGCGTAAGCGCCTGTATAGATGCACAGTGCTTTTGTAGGGTCAAACATTGCCGGGTGATAACAATATCGACATCCCTGGCACACGCCAAATTGAGTCCCGTTTTTCTTTCTTCCTTTTTTTTCCGGTTTTTTTTTTTTTTTCAAAACGCAATAAACGCGAGAAAATGAAGATGGAATTGTCGACGGGGTTTACAGAACGATTGATGTGATGAGTATTTTTTTTTTTTTTTAAAGGTGAGAGTTATTCGTGCTCGGTTATTTTTATTAAACGTGAATTTACGAAGAATATAAAGTTCGTTTTCGGTTATTTTTAATGGTAATTTTTGAGAATTTTGTTAAATGTTAATATATTTTTATGTTCTTGTTTTTTTGGGAGGGAGGAGGGGAAAGGGTGAATGTCTGATTTTCATTTTAATTCGATTAAAAAAAGTAATGTTTAAAGATCATGAGACGAGAAGTTATACTA